ACGTTTTTCTATAATTTCTTTAGTATTACCAGTAGCACAGGGTAAAACATAATTTCCATCTGCAGAACAGTATTTTCTAAAAATTTAGGATAGTAAATCACAAGATACTGATTTAGTATTTTGCATGGTACATTGAATAAATGATTATACACAAATCTGGTTATATGCTGAGGCCTCATATTCAATTTGTCATGGAATCCTTTAAGACTCTAGACAATACACATATGTTCTGCTTCTGATCAAAAATACACTCTTCCCACCTCTAAGAATAGTATGTTTTAGACCCACCAATTACTTTAGCCCTGAATCTGAAAGGCTATCTAAAGATCCAGCTGGGGGAAGGAAAATACCCTGAAGACATAATTTTTATTTGTAAAACATAGTTATTAAAAAACATAGGTGAAAACAGTGTGCTTTAAAACATTTTCCCAATGTCATTTTATTGACTGTACAAGTGTAAATATTACACTATACCAGATAAAATAAACCAGTGCTTTTCTGGTTTGTTCAATCATCACTGTATTTTGATAACCACTCAGGGAATTCAGAGTCAATCCACATTGAAACCGAATGCCTTGGAAGGAAAGACAGTTTCATGATGCATTAAAACAGAATGTGTTTTACTAAATATTTGATAATATACTAGATATTGAGATACTCGGTTGCCAGTATGACTGTCTTCCTTATTTGGGATTGGGCATTTCTTAGAGTGCACCTACTGAAAATTATGATTAGGCAAGCTTGTTCAGTTTGTGATTTTTAACATTAACAAAATGTCTTTTCCCCAAGTGCTTGAAGTGAAGGAAAGAGATTGATGTACTAGTTTTTTTTAACCTTTTACTCCTTTACCCTATGCTTATGCTTTAACCTTCAATTCCATTCCTATTCTGCTTCCAAAAATGGTGAACAGATGTGAAATATAGTCAGGAATAGGAGCACAGTCAGTTTGAAGGGGCAGAAAAATATTGATTCTGATTATTCATTTTCAGATCCTTCAACAATTCAGAGTTTTTAC